CAAAGTCGTCGACCTTGACCTGCAAGGGCGTCGCGCCAGGCTCGGATGGCGGGGATGAGGCTCCGACTCCATTCTCGAGCACGGCGGCAATGTGCATGACGGTGGGGAAGGTGTCGTTGGACGAGGCGCTGCGGTTGACGTGGTCGTTGGGGTGGACGGGCTTCTTGGAACCCATCTCGCCGCCGAGGATCTCGATGGCGCGGTTCGAGATGACCTCGTTGGCGTTCATGTTGGACTGGGTGCCGGAGCCCGTCTGCCAGACGACGAGGGGGAAGTGGTCGAGCAGCTTGCCCTCGGCGACCTCGGCGGCGGCCTGCTGGATGGCCTTGCCGATCGTCTCGTCGAGGCCGTAGCGCATGTTGACCGTGGCGGCGGCGCCCTTGAGGATGCCAAAGGCCTTGATGATGGGCGGCGGCATGCGGTCCTGGGGCTGGTTGATCTTGAAGTTCTCCAGAGACCTCTCGGTCTGGGCGCCCCAATACCTGTCGGCGGGGACCTGGAGGGCGCCAAAGGCGTCTGTTTCGGTTCGTGTGGAGGAGGACATCCTGGCGATGGTCGTGTGCAGCGTTCGTGTGGTGCAGACTTGCGATCTGGAGGTGTTTGCGGCGGCGCGGGCCAAGGCGTACCGTCCTGGGACGGCGGCGTGCTTAAGGACGTTCATGGTGACCAGCCGAGCGGGGTGCGCGCAAGCGGAGGGGGATCGATTGGCTGGTGGATGGAGCAAAGCAAGCCGAGGATGCAGGCGAGTTTATGGGGGAGGGGAATGCTGTCGGAGTGCTGTCGGGGGTTGATGCTTTATTTTGCTTGTCGCTCCCGGCTGCTTCACCCAACAAATGTTCGTCGACCCGGGCACACCCGGGCCATGTTGAGCTCCATGTACGTACCAGGGACGAGGAAGGAGACCCGTCCGCGGCAGGTAGCTGTGGGGCAGCTGGTGTATCAGCCTCAAGACCCAAGATGCCCCACGATGGCTGTAATGTGGCTGACGAACGCGTCGGTACTTGGAAACGGGAATTCTCCGAACCCTCCATGTCAAACATGCAGATGCCATGGCGAGTCCTTATAGAAGAAGTGGCATTTCATCGGGCTTCTCAGCTCTGCCTGTGAGTAAGGTAACTAGGATCTGGACTACCCCATGACTGATCCGGTGCCGGCCATGACCTAACCATACCAACCTTGTACCTCCCATCCACCATCTCTTGTCATGTCATAGTCATTCATACCTTTCGCTTTGACTGGGTACACCTCAAGCGCCATTCCTTGGCTCACTCGCCTGTATTCATTGAAAAATTGGGACTGTATTTGTCTGCAGGATGCAGACACGAAATGGAGCCGTTTTTGCGAGGACATGAACCTGGGAGACCGTACATGAATGAGACATGGCGGCAGAAGGTTTGCGTTTGGCATGCATGCCTCAACGGCAGGGCAGCCACGACCAGGCGGCCGGCGATCGTGCGGAGAAGCAGCACCTCCAAACCACCCTGTCATGCCATCTGCTGCCGCCCGGATTGCTCAACTCACGATTGAATACATAGAAACAACTACAGGAATCATTTTCGCAGCTTCAGCTTGACCACGTTTCATGTTCTCTG